CCTCTGCGCTGTCCGCGGTGCTGAGCGGCCCCGGACCCGCCCTGTCCGCGGTGCTGAAGGTCCGCGGGGACGGACGCGACCCCCAAAATCCTCCAAAATAAGAACAGCCCCCGGGGGGCTCCGGCTCCTCGCCTGGAAACTACGGCAGGGTGGGAGTGGGATGCTGGGGGAACACGTCCCGCTGGACATGGAATGCTCTCCTGAGAACCCTCCTGGAATGCTGGGCACAATCCTGGTGTCCCCAGCGTAAGAAGGACTGGGAACTGTTGGAGCAAGTCCAGAGGAGGCCACAAAGACGAGAAAGGGGCTGGAGCACCTTCCCTATGGAGACAGAATGGGAGAGCTGGGGCTGCCCAGCCTGGAGAGGAGAAGGTTGTGTGGAGACCTCACAGGAACCTTCCACTGCCTGAAGGGGCTGGAGAGGGACCCTGGAGCAGAAACTGGAGAGATAGGACCAGGGGGAATGGCTTCAAACTGATACTGAGTAGGTTTAGAGGAGATATTGGGAAGGAATTCTTTGCTGTGAGGGTGGGGAGGCCCTGGCACAGGTTGCCTGGGGAAGCTGTGGCTGCCCCTGGATCCCTGGAAGTGTCCAAGGCCAGCTTGGATGGGGCTTGGAGCAACCTGGGCTAGTGGAAGGTGTCCCTGCCCATGGCAGCAGGTGGAACAAGATGAGCATCAATGTCCTTTCCAACCCAAACCATTCCATGATTCTACGAGTTTGGAGGAAAACCAGCAGAAACTCAGTCACGTTCCAGTTTCCCCAGTGCCAGGCTTGACACCCTCCTACACAATAACAGGAAATTAAATATTTACAAGGAAGGACATTATTTTCAAATCTATTATATGCCTTCTATTTTTTTAAATACGAAAAAGAAACAGGCAAAAGGAAAACAAAAGAAGACAGCACCGAGACCCCCAGTAAAACAATTTGATTGGGAGATGACAACAGATCATTTCCAACAGTTGGGAAACTTCCTTTGCTCCACACACACAGAGCTGGAAAATCCTTTCTTTGCTACAAAGCAGCATCTGAACAAGATGTTTCTCGTGGCTCAGGGCCCATCCTTTCCCTGTCATTCCGGTGTTCCATCAGTTTTCTGCTGGGAAGGAGGCCCAGGGGAACACTGTGAACATTTGGAGATAGAGCCATCACTCCTTTCTCCCATGTCAAGGATGATTTATCTGTTTGCAAATGGAAAGCTCGATCCATTACTTGATAATCTGATCTACCTGGAAAGTTCTTGGATTAAGAGGGTGGGAAGAACTCAGGCAGGAGCCTCTGGAACTCACAGTGCTCTCACTGAGCACATGTAAATGTCCTAAAATGGACTTTCTTTTGAGAGTCTTTCTAGGACTGGCCAGAGAAAGCCAAGTGGGAAAAAAAAAAAAAAAAAAAGGGATCTGTTCTTGTTTTAGGTGGGATGTTACTGATCTGTGTTTGCAGGAATTAAGGATGAAATCAGGAAACTCAAATCCATGTAGGAGCAGTGCAGCTCTCAGAGCTCAGCCTGACATTTCCCAAGAAAATCAATTTATTGAAAACATGAAATCTCCGTGTGGATGTTCACAGACCATTATCCTCTTCTATTTACCTTCAAAATACTAAACAGGGAAATCTGAATTTCATCAACTCGATAATGCATCGAGAGCTTTGGGGTTCACTTCTTCTCTGGCTGTGAATCTCTGATTGCCAGACACTCTGTTTTATTCCTTCTGTGTATCTGAGAGGGGATTTTTTCCTGCTTTTTGCTGTGCCCTATTTTATTTTGTGCCTTGTGTGATGTCTCAGCCCTGGATGTTTTAACAGAAACACACGTTGTTGATTGGCTGAGAATCTCAATGCAGCCTATTTTCAGTGACAAATATTCAGATCAAATCAAAAGCACTTTATTAAGCATCAAAGTCTGCTGAAACCCAGCAAACTTTTTCCAAGAGATGCATATATTACTCTCCAAGTAATTTTCCAGCACAGTAATCATTCCCCTTCCTATTTCAGTCACTGCATCCCTAAAAAGACTTGATAATATTCCTGTTTTTCTTAAACTATATTATCTGCAAATAAATTTATTTTAAAAGTTTAGGGTTCCAACCACCTAGAACCAGTCAAGTAACTTGTGATCCATCATTATGAGGATTAAATGATACATTTTCCTCAGCTGCTGTTCTGACCAACCCTCGAGCCAGAAGAAGGAATAAAAAGGTGGAGCCAGTCAAAAATCAAATTAATTATGGCCTTATTTGTCAGCTGGCACCTTTGAGCCAAGTAACAAAAGGACATAATAATTAAATAGTATTGAGACAAGATGCTCTGGTTTTAAGGGCAAGAGTCACATAAAAAAAGCCTGAAGAATCTTTTCCCTTTCCTACCTACAGCATCTGACATTCCAGAATTCCTCTGCCACAACACAAAGCCAAAACTTCACCCAGGGGAGCTGCTGGAAAACACCAAGACCTGGAAGTAACAGCAAAAATAAGGAATTGTTTCCACTGCCATTTTTTTTCCTCCTTAATCTCGTGGTTCCTTTCCTGCTTGACAAGTTCCTCCTCAGGATTTCATTTTGAGAGCAGCAACAGATGCAAAACAAGTTCAAACATTGGATTCCAAGTTATCATAATTAATGTTTGATCGAGATTCTGAGCCTTAGAATCACCCAATGTTGTCTCTCTGAGCTGAAACATGGCAATCACAGCCAGCAGAGCTCAGCCACAGCTTCTTGAAGCCAAATTTGAAAAGCCAGGGATGATCAGGGGGAGTTCACATCCCCCATCACTCAACCAGGGAGGAACTGATGGAGTTATCCCCACCTCATGGCAACCAAATGGCTTTTAAAAAGCCACTTCAAAACTGAAAAATTAAAGCTGTGGTGCAGCTGACCAGAAAAAAATCCCTGCTGCTGTTGAGCAGAGCAAGAATTATTTCTGGTACCTCCCCTTCTCCTCATCTCTGAAGTTACTCTAAAACTGCTGCTCCCACCCTGCACTTGAGTTCTGCACGTGATGATAAAAGGCCCCACCTCTAATTCTGGGCATTTTTTACCCTGAGTGTTCAGGTTTGTCTCTGGATTTCAGGTTCCTGTGGGATTTTAATGCTTTTTCTACTTTCCGTTTGCAGGTTTTGTCTTATTTTTAAGGATGGAAAAGTTTTGAGGGCAAGAGAGGAAAAATGCTCTTGAAACTCTGAATTTTCCTAATCCTAGTAATTCCACATCTTCCCTTAGAAATGCACCGGGAATTTTGTAGAATCAGTAAAAATGAGCTTAAAGATCTTCTCTTTCACCTCCAAATGACCAAAGATCATTGTTTGCCCATCCCAGAGCTGGGGACCCTCCTTCCCTGGGTCCTTCAGGGATTGTGATAATCAAGGACACACGAAATAATCAGGGGTTCCTTTGCCTTCAGAAATAAGTCCTGCTTTTCCAAAGGTTTTTATTAGGAAAGTGTGATAAAACATCTCCCTCTACCTTAGATGCAGAAGTGAGACGAGCGAGCATCCCATTAACACAGATTAAATCACAATCCCAGTATCCAAATTTTGTTTTCCCACAAATGCAGAACTCCCAGATGTACTTATTTCACCCCACAACACCCCAAAGCATTGGAAATGTGTCATTTTCCAAGTCAGGTTAGGGATGGAGAACCCCTGGAGCAGCCGGGAGTGTCCCTGTGCAGGGTACGAGGGACCTCTTGTGGAAGCCGAGCGCAGATAAACTTGATATCCACGTTTATTCTTCTCATTAAAGGAACAGAATCCACTTAATACACGAAACCTTAGTGCATAACCCAGTATTGCAACCCAGTTTATCACCCTGCTCTCCAGCTCTGAGCACAGGGAGGCTAAAAATAAACCAGAGCTCTCAGTAATGTTTTATTAAACTCTGTCACAGCTGCCAAAGCACTGGGCCACAAAAACAAACCTTCTGGGAACAGCTCCCCCAGCTTCACTCTGAGCCTGGGACATCACAGCAAAGACTCAAATTGTGCCTTTAAGTCGAAAATCTGAGTTTTTAGCCCTGAAAACCTCTGTTGGATCGGAGAGCCTGCCTTGGGAATTGCTCCAGAAAAGAGAATTAAAGTAACAAACTCCTGTTTCTTGCACATGGGCTCCATCTACTTGAAAGCACCTCTAGCAACGATTTCTGGAGTTTTTTAGGGAATTCAGAAGCCACCAAAAGCTGTCCCTTGACTGGCACCAGCTGCCTCCAGCTTTCCAACACCAGGATCCAACCAACTGCTTTTCCTGAGCTGCTCCAACACATCCCATGGCAATTCCTGTCTCCTGCCTTTCCTTTAAACTGCTCAATTATTTCATGCACCCTCAGTCTCTGGTTCCCTCAAATCTCAGGTGTCCTGTCACAAAGCCAAAAGCTTTCTAAGCTCTGTCTCTACCTGCTGGTTTATTGACCTCAAAGATCCCGTTTCAGAGACAGCCACAGAGCTGCCTGTATTCAAAAAATGGTCTTTATATTTGAGGTTTTCGTTTAGAGTCACCTTAAAAAGAGAAATACAACCTCCAGCCACTGGGCAGCGGGTTTGCAAGGCGGTGGGAATATTTATTCCAAAATCAAATTTAATT